TGAGAGGTTTTTTTTTTAATAAATATACCTTTTATAAAGGATATTAACTAAATAAAAAAAAACATTTTCCATTTGAACAACACATACGAAAATAAATATAGCTAAATATGAATATTGTTTTCAAATTTTCATTCTTTAAAATCTATAAAAAACAATTTTTATTTACTTTGTGCAACGAAATCATAATCTAGATCGAGAACTGGTGGTACCAGTATTGTTTTACACTTAAACGAGAGAAAAATAAATACGGCTTATGTAATAAAATCGCTTTCTCTTGGAAGTAATTTATATTTAATTGCCAGGTCTTTTTACCGTTCGTGATGTAGGTTAATCTTATACATCAGTGATGATGTTTTTACAAAGTGAAATATTTTTCGTAAAAGATTTACTTGTAATAGTTTTATTATTTTTTAAATTGTGGTCATAATTTATTTCAATATTTTCTTAGTCAAATTATAATAGTCAAATTTCTACCTGTTAAATTAATAAATAAAGTATAAATTAAAGACATTGTAAAGAAACACACGGAGAATATTAAGAGAGCCAACAAAGTAATCCGCCAAGTTTTGATGAAGTTCGACAGGCGATATAAAAACTGACTTGAATACAAAAACAATCTTGGGGAAGTACTCTAATTCTAATATAATAATTCAACTCTTAAAAACTTTTAACGAATAAAATTGGTTTAGAGTTTCACTCCAACATTCAGCTGTCTCCTTAAAATGCAACCATGGCAATTTTACAAACTCTACACCTTGTAAGATTACCTATTTTATACAGGCATTTCTTTCGCGGTTTTTTTGAAGTATCGTTCGAACGGTAATTCCTGATTTGTTAAGTTGGTTAGTCCGAATCTCATTGTTTCGTTTATCTTCTATTAAAACAACGTTCTTGCAATTTTATTTTGAGCTGAATTTAGTCTATGTGTTACTCAACTGCTGAAAACAATGAAAAATAAATTATAATGGAAAAGTTTTCAGTTATTGAATTATCTATGCTATGGTTAAATAACGAAAAACACGTCAAAAAGTAAAACGTTTAAGCCTTGCAGTTACTTAAATGCAACATAATATGAAATTGACAAAAATCGAATTATTGTTTTTTTTTAAACCTCGTATAAAGATAACTAACTATAAATTGAGAATCAAAATTATAGGCAGTGAATTCTTAGTAAAGTAATAGTGACGTTTCAGCGCTATTGTAGGTCTTCCAATGGCGGACGAAAAATTTCATAAGAAGTTACGACAAAGCGACTTGTATTGAAGAAATACCTCTTTATAATATGTATCACGTTAATGTAGGAATATGATTATTATTGATATTTGGGTTAATTACAATAAATAATTTTAGTTTAAAGTCTGGCAAATATTAAATGAAACTATAAATCCCAAATCATGTGTCGTTAATGGTCAAAAGTAGCTGAAATTAGGTGTCTATCATGCATTCTCGGAAATTTTTAATTCGATTATGCGTGAGAAAATATGTTTCCTTTCTGGTCACTTAACATTTTAACAATAGAATACAGTGGAACTTGGTTATAGCGTCATTGAAGGGTCCAATAAAAAAATGACGCTATATCAGAGTGACGTTAAAAAAGAGGTTGAGAAAAATAAAATTTTAATGAGGGAAAATATTATTACAGCATTATTGGGTATAGTAGATATATTATTTGTTAATTATTCTGGGCTTAAACATGATAATATAACATAGTTTACGATATACCGAAAATATAACATTTACTTAAGTCAAATTAAAAAAAAAAACAAGAATCATTTTAGGATAAAAAACAATTAAAAAACAAAACATATTATGTATGTATATGAAACTTACATTGTGTAAAAAAGTTCTATTGCTGAAAAAAGTCCGTTATTTTCTTTTGCACAACCCTTTCCGAAAAATAAAGTTTTTCTGTTGTTTCCTTAATAAGCTGAGCTGCTTCTTTGGTATTTGTGGATGCCTCCCTGAACTGGTAAAACCTGGATATGGTCTCAGCAGCTCTCATTGCTTCTTGGATTGTAGGACAAGCAACGATGTCTTCTTCTTCTTCAGCTTCATCGACATCCATTTCCACGTTTTGCACCAGTTCAACAATTTCTTTATCACTTAGGACTTGAAATGTTTCCACCTCATCGTCTACTGAAATGTAGGAGTCAAGATCAGTTCCGAACGCTCCCTGATTCACATTAAATTTTTGTATCCACTCTGACAAAGGCATTTCGTCATCTTTATCAACGTCCTCAACATTGAGAGAAGCTACAGTCAATTTTGCTTGACGAAAACACTTATGAATTGTCACTGACGTAACCGCACTCCACGCATTCTCTAAAAACTTAACAGCATCCAGGATGGTAATGTTCACAGGTTCTCCATTATCCATACAAAAAATCATTCTTTTTAAAAGATGTTTTCGATAATGGCACTTTAAACTTTTTATGACTCCCTGGTCCATAGGCTGCAAGACACTCGTGCAGTTGGCTGGTAAGTTGGCTAGATTTATATTGGTCAAATTAAGTTTGGGATGGGCTGCACAGTTGTCAACTAGGAGAAGAATTTTTCTTTTTTTGAAAGAGAGTTCCTTGTCCCACTTTCTCAATTCTTCTTCAAAAATAGCAGAAGTCATCCATGCTTTTTTATTGGCTGTGTAGTTTACAGGTAGTGTTTTAATGTTTTTGAAACATCTAGGATGTAAACTTTTCCCAATAACCAAAAGCTTTCTTTTCTCTGTACCTGTCATATTTGCACAAACAAAAGCCGTCACTCTTTGCTTGGAAAGTTTTCCACCGACACATTTTTGATTTTTGAAATTTAAAGTTTTGTCTGGCGTTAATTTATAAAAGACACCTGTCTCGTCACCATTAAAGATATCTTCATCTTTGTATGGTTGCCTTTGTTGTGGCCATGTGTTTTGTAACCAGTCACTTGTTACGTTCTCGTCCACACATTTTGCCTCTCCAACAATTTTCGAGAAGGAAATTGAGTGCCTGGCTTTAAACCGATCTAACCAGCCGTTAGAGCATGTGAAATCTTCACCAAACAATTTTCCGAACTCTGTAGCTTTCTCCTTTAAAAGTGGCCCGGACACAGGGATATCAGAACTGCGACACTGCTTGAACCATTTGAGTAGAGCTGAATCTACATCACCACGAATGCACTTCCTAATCTTTTTAACATTGTTTCCGTCCTCTTTAAAGGCTTTTAAAATTTTGTCCTTGTTTTTTATGATTGAGCCGACAGTCGAATTAACAAGTCCAAATTGCCGGCATACATCAGCAATTTTTCGACCACTTTCAAATGCTCTTATAACACGCACTTTTTCTTTAATAGGCAAAACCTTCCTTTTAGTGCTACAACTTGCCATATTAAAAAATAAAAGCTAATTACCAAATTAAAATAAAAAAAAACAAAACGATCCGAACACAATTTCACGGTAGCGAAAATTTCTTAAACCGACTGTTCCGAAACAGAAAATTTGACTGTTAGGAGTGTTAGGACGGCACTGATAAATGCGTAATTATAGATTGTCAGGGTAACATAACTGTACACAGAAGGAATAATGGACCTTTCTTACATTCTTGGAAGGAACAAATGCCGCAAAGCCAGAAACGCATTGCACTTTATTCTTCATAAAATAAAAAAAGGATAACCTACTATAAAATTTTATGACGCTATAACCGAGGGTTAGTTTATTTTTAGCCGATAAAACTGGGTTTTTAATAACGTTATGGAATAGTTTTTGACCGGACCTATTAAAAATTGACGTTATAACCGAGATGACGTAACTACCGAGGCCGTAATAAGCGAGTTCCACTGTATTATATTTCTGCTCATAATAATAAAAATAATATATTAAATCTAGTTTATAAAATAAGTTTTCATTTCCATTAATAATGTGTAGACTGAGCGAATGCGCGAAAGTCGTCTATATGCCTAAAGATGTAAAATACATAAATTAGTATATTCTTTTTATTTCAGATCGATATTCCATTATTTAGTCTGGCAATAGAAAGAGTGCAACGGCAGATACTTGTTTGTTTGTATGTACATAATGTCTCTTAAAAACATGCCAAAATGTGTTTATTTGAAAGTTTACATCGAGTCATGCATGACATGAATCATGTTGGTACAAATACAATACTCCCAGAAATTAATTCTACGTATTGCGTTTACGCCAGTAAACAGAACTAAACGCAATTATCGAAATTCGAAGTTTATGTCTGGGAAAAATTTAATTCCCTTGAGTACCAACTAACCCAGAAGTCTATTTAATTACGGAATTAATCGATGCCCTGACATTATTATGTTGAAATGTGTTTACACAGCAAAATAAAGACACAACGGATGAATCATAATAAAAAATGATAAATCCCATCAAAGGAAGAACTGATTTAATTTATAAGATTTAATTAATAAAACAGTGCTCGATATCTGCCTTTCATTTTATCAAAGTTCAATTAATAAGTCTCTTAAGATTAATTTTTAAAATTCACTGCAACAGTGAACTATACTCTACTGAATGCTAAACTACGAAATCAATGAGCAATTTATCTCTCTCTATATTATGACAACGTTGATCTACTATTCCTTTCTACTGGTCCTAACGATACCTATCCTAATTATCATACTTTTTAGATGTTTTCAGTATATAAATATTCTGTATAAAAATATATTATACATAAATATTGATTTTTTAAATACATTTTATTAGATACTTAACAAATACAAAATGATCATTAATATATAATTTTGCTGTATGTAAATGATTAAAATATAAATTGCTAGAATATCTATCATCACAAACTGACAACGATGTCGTCGCTTTATCACATTCAAATTTTTGAAAATCTACTGCCTCCAAATTTCATTCTCAACTTATAGGAAATAACCGTAATCACATTCACAAATACCCTACTTATCATCAGATCCTAGTATTAATCAACAATATATATGTTGTTGAAAACAACAATGTTGTTGAAAAAAATGTTCATTCATTATTCTTTCAGTATCCAGTCATCACTGCCATGGGAGTTCTAAAGAAAGCAGCGGCAATTGTGAACAAAGACTACGGTTTAGACCCAAAAGTTGCCGATGCCATCTCTCAAGCAGCAGACGAGGTCATTTCAGGGAAGCTGTATTCCGAACACTTTCCTCTCGTAATCTGGCAAACAGGATCCGGTACTCAGACAAATATGAACACTAACGAAGTCATCAGTAACAGAGCTATAGGTAAATAAACATATTTTATATTGATAGTTAGGTCTACATTTACAGTCACTCCAACCGGTTTTTCCTAACTACCTTCTATTTAAGGCCAGGACGGCAACAAAATGATAGTCTGTTGGATAACTTTCATAATAAATCAGTCACTTTTGAACTCTGAACTTGACTTTGACTTTGACTTGATCGCTGAACTCTGACTGAGTGCTATAAGTTGTTGAAAGACCTATGGTGAGAATTCTCTATCTCGTGCGCGTGTTTTCGAATGGTATAAAAGGTTTTCTGAAGGTCGAGAGAGCACCGAGGATGACCAACGTCCAGGTCGACCTGTCTCTGTTTCAACTCCGGAAATAGTGACCAAAATAAATGAAATTGTGCGCGTAGATCGTCGTATGAGTATTCGGATGATTGCTGAGACTGTAAACGCCAATAAAGAAACTGTCAGAAAAATTGTACATGACGAATTAAACATGAAGAAAGTTTGTGCGAAGTTGGTCCCAAAAAATTTGACCCCTGACCAAAAGCTCGTCCGTCAACAGATCTGCTCAGATTTTCTTCAGCGGTTAGATGAAGAGCCTGAATTGATGGAAAACATCATCACTTGCGATGAAACCTTGATATTCCAATACGATGTTGAAACTAAGCGGCAATCCATGCACTGGAAAACTCCTGCATCGCCGAGAATGAAAAAAGCAAGGATGTCGAAATCAAAATTTAAAGCCATGTTAATCGTTTTTTTCGACATCAACGGCATCGTGATGACTGAATGGGTTCCAGGGGGTCAAACTGTAAACCAAACTTACTATTTGAAAGTTTTGGCAACGCTCCGAGAGCGAGTTCGTAAGAAACGGCCGGAGTTGTGGAAAAACAAATCGTGGATCTTGCACCAGGACAATGCACCTGCCCATAACGCGCTGTCTCTGAAGCGTTATTTAGCCGCTAGAGGCACTCCAGTGCTCGAACACGCACCGTACTCGCCTGATTTAGCACCCTGTGACCTTTTCCTGTTTCCGAAGATCAAGTCTGCCTTAAAAGGAACCCGGTTCGACTCGATGGAAGAGGTGAAGCGAAAATTGGCGGAGCTCCTAAATGCTCTTACAAAAGAAGACTGTCAGCATTGCTTTGACCAATGGAAAAAACGAATGGAAAGGTGTGTGGTGAGGAAAGGGGACTATATTGAAGGGGAGCATTCGATTGTAGAATAATTTTTAAAATAATAAAACTCTTTTTCATAATCAGTCTCGTTATTTAATAGCCAGACCTCGTAAATGTAAAATTCATTTCGGAATACACCAATATTTAATTAATTGTCAAAGAAACGACACCAATGTTTTAATATCTCTTTTGATAATACAATATGTAGTGGCAGGAATAAATTAAATTATGTAAGGAAAATTTTAATTAGGAAAAAAAAGATACATGTATATTAATGATTCTTCTGAAGTTTATCTATAACACTAAAATATTATTTAAGGTTAGCTCAAACATCTTCAAGAAAGTTTAATAATGCCTTCATTTAGCAATTCATCTTTAAAATTGTCTTTATTTTGATCTCACGCTAGGCTATAGAATGTTGCTGTAGATGCCTATGTAAAAGGCTAGTTACATATCTGGTATATATGGAATTCATTATAGAAATTTTCTTCATGGATTGTTTAGTGGACTCCTTAAAAATGGCTTCATTCTTTAATCAGAATCTCCAAGTAACAAGCCATTTCAATTATAATCATTTATTATTCATAAAATTTATATATCCCAGACTCCTATGATCGTCTTGACTTTTGCCTACATCTTCTCGTGTCTGTATTAAATACTTGTGACAATACCGCATTCCGACGATATTTTTCATTCCTACATTTGTTATCATTTTTAACTCATTCAAATATAAATGTAAGTAAACTTCATGCAATTTTTCGTTTATTTTTCAGAAATTATGGGCGGTAAACTAGGATCCAAAACACCCGTTCATCCAAACGATCACGTCAACAAGAGCCAGAGCAGTAACGACACTTATCCCACCGCTATGCACATCGCCGTAGCAGTAGAAATAGAACACACTTTATTGCCAAATCTCAAGATGCTTCAAGAAGCTTTGGATAAAAAGTCCAAAGAATTCAAAGATATCATCAAGATAGGAAGAACCCACACCCAGGACGCTACACCTTTAACGTTAGGTCAAGAATTTAGCGGGTACGCCCAACAACTAGCTTTTGGCATCGATAGAATCAATGCTACATTACCAAGGTTAGTCGATGCATTATATCTTTTCAATAGGTATATTTTTTCTATTTTCTTATTTATTTTATGACTCGAATTATTTACACTGATTTATTTAAACGTTGAACAAGTATTATGAAATTCTATAAATTATTACCTAAAAACTATTACTTATCTATAGTCCAAATCCAAAATAGGATTGTCAGGGTTTGGATTTCGTATGACCCTCATTCATACACGTTTCGTCTATATAATAATTTTTTTTATCTACTTTTTTATCTTTACGTCTAAAATCACGAATTTTTGTAAATATTCTCTACACCATATCACTAGTTCGTCTCTCTCGATTAACAAACTTTTCCGACTTCTCTTTACATACCGAAAATCCATTTCACAAGTATCATCTGCCTAAACATTGATTTCTCGTTGAATAGCCTTTAACCTGGGTATTTCGTTCCTAAAATAAATTCCATGAACTTTTCTTCGGATTATGCTTTTTGTAATATCGTCCAATACAATTTTTGTATGTCCTTTATGAATAGGTTTTCGAAGTCGTTTATTACATTGAATTATTGAGAAAACCATACAAACTGATACTTTTGTTAAATCACCGTACAATGCCGCGACGTTCTCTATAAACATATATTGCTTTCTTCTACGTAATCCCTCATAAACCGATTTAATCATTTGTTTTTCTTTTACAAACAACCACTACCTTTTATCCGGTTTATCAATAGATGTACTTCACGTTAGTTTTAATGCCAGGTTACCCGACTGAAATACATATCTGACCACCTGATTTTAATATTCATCTCTACGATTTGCCGGCGAGTTTTAATATTGTTGCCGCCGCGCCGTATTACAGCAAGAATATTACTTTCGAAAAAGATAACACTGTTCGCTACTCCCTCTCTTGACATTAAGGTATATTTCATCGACACTGATAAGCTGCACGCGGTACTAAATAATAAATTTCGCAACAAGGCGAGTATACTTTATCCAGTTCGGACTTATATCAGATGTAACCGGCAAAAGTGATAATTGGGAAGTAAATATTTGTGCTAATAAATAAATAAATATATAGCCGCTTACTATCAAGTGTTCACGAACTACAAAATGTCTGCCCTGACAATCCTATTGAATTTGGATTATAGCGAAGAAATAAATTGTTGCGAATTCTGGTGAACACTAACCCAAAATCAATTCCACGGTATTCTTTCGAATAAAAATCGTTTAGGGCACTTAAGTAATCGATTATTTGTGTTTTAGAGTGAGGATGTTGGCTTTAGGTGGTACAGCTGTCGGTACCGGTCTGAATACAAGAAAAGGATTCGCCGAAAAATGTGCAGCCAAAATCTCAGAACTAACTGGATTACCATTCACATCGGCACCAAATAAATTCGAAGCGCTCGCTGCTCACGATGCTATGGTTGAAGTTTCCGGAGCCTTGAATGTAATAGCAGTGTCTATAATGAAGATCGCCAATGATATCAGGTAATGTGTAACAAAATTTTTATATGGCCCCACGTTGGGCGCCACTGTAACAAAATTTTTATATTGCTCCACTTTGGGCGCTACTGTAACAAATAGTAGCTAGATCACTTGGGACCAGGTCCCTGATGTTATAAGATCTATAGAGTAGTGTGGAGATAAGTTTGAAACTAAATTAAAATAAAAGTTGAAACTGAATGCAGTTCGGCTAGCTGGGTATGCTTGAGACTGGCCAGTTGATACTCAAGGTAGGGTTAGGCCTATTTGCATGCCCTGAGAAAACAGTAAAAAATAGGAAAGATGTATATTAACTAAGAAAATATAAGAATAACCAAAACGAACTAAGAGTAAGTACTGAAAACCGGAATATAGGAAAGTAGAATGATTTGGGCGCCAGGGAAGATGTTTACTGGACTCTTAGTCTAACAAACACTTCACCTAGTGACTTTATTGCTACTGCTAACTATGTTTCTGTAATTAGATATAACCTTATTAAATAAAAAGAAGGTTTACTAAAACAGATTATTACTTAAAACCCAATTTAATAACAATAAAATAGAAACCTGTAAACCTCGTAATATACAATTTAACTTAAATACCCTTATAATATACACTATTATTGACCCCTTTTATATATCCAATATATTTACATTTAATAATTTACTAGAAAAGTATCAACTTTTCTAGTAAATTATTAAAAAGGAACAGATACAAGATGAATTGGTGATGTTACCAGTAGGGCTGTAGAAATACAAAATGGACCTTTGTGCACAAATGACCTTACAAAAAACATGAGTTAAGAAATAACAGATATGAGTTAAAAAAATTGACTAAAATTATTATTAAGGTTTTGTTCGTTGACTGACTAAAGTTTAAACAAAATTTAAGGAAATTATTTGAAAATAGTAGGAACAATTATTATAAAGGAACGTGACTACTCTCAAACTGAGAAAGTTCTTCTTCCGGATGCTTTCGTCACTGGGACTCGTAAGGTTGAAATCTAGTACACTCTTCTAGTAGTTAACTGAACTGCTACTCCAGTAACCGGGAAAAACAAACAAACTCCAACCAAACTACATGGATTCCATTACCCCAAATTCAAAATAATCCTGATTTGACTTTATAATCCTTTTTTCCTCCAGCGACTAAAAATAAAATCAAAGAAAGCTCTCATTAGCTTTATTCTGAGTTGATAAACAAAAAGGCGATTAGGACAAAAAACTAGCCCGAATGATGATAATTAGTGAAGGCTTGTACCTTCACTAATTATCTATCTAAATATTATGTATTATGTAAATATTATGTTTAATACACTAAAATATTATGTACAAAATGTTCTTAATCATTTCTAATTTATTAACCGTATTCTTCTTTTTGTAGATTTTTGGCTTCTGGTCCCAGATGCGGTCTAGGAGAATTGTCACTTCCAGAAAACGAACCAGGTAGCTCAATCATGCCCGGCAAAGTTAACCCCACCCAATGCGAAGCCATCACCATGGTAGCAGCTCAAGTGATGGGCAACCACGTAGCAGTCACTATCGGCGGTGCTAACGGCCATTTCGAATTAAACGTATTCAAACCCATGATTGTATCGAACGTACTTAGATCTATCCGATTGCTTGGTGACAGTTCCAAATGCTTTACCAAGAACTGTGTCGACGGCATCGTTGCCAACACAGAAAGAATTCATAAGTTATTACACGAGAGTCTAATGTTAGTTACAGCTTTAAATCCCCACATTGGCTATGATAATGCTGCTCGTATCGCGAAAACTGCGCACAAGGAAAATGGAACTCTGAAGGGAACAGCTATCAAGTTAGGACTTCTCACGGAAGAACAGTTCGACAAATGGGTCAAACCCGAAGATATGCTTGGTCCTAAATAAAAAAAAAACAATATATTCAGTAATTTAAACACGGATTTATAAGGATTTTTGTATATATACTTTTGATTTTTATGTTTTCTCATTACAATATTTATTTTCGACTATTAGTTTTATTTCCCAATTTTTATTAGGATTCGTTGAAGTCAAAAAGTTAGGTTAAATAACTATTATTAGTTAAATTTCCTATTATATGGGTGTGATTTCGTAGATCTTCAATAGGTGGAGCTAGGGTTAGGCCAACTAATCAACCTCATACATATAATTGTATGAAGCTATCACCTGGATAAATTCACCTATAAACTCATTGGCGTTATACAAAACACTGCTCTATAGATAAAATCGAACAAAAATATACAAGAGGTAACCTCAACAAATTTTTCAATAATTTGTCTGTTGAAATTGCTATAAAGATCGCATGAAATAGAGTTTAGTTTCTCTCAGAAAAATGATGTTAATGATTTCAGCAATCCTGTGACTTAGCCCAACGGACTTTAAAAATCAAGTTGCAAGGTTTACTAAAAGATGTAAACTTTTCAATTTATTTAAGAGAGTTAAGTATATATCATAAAATCTGTGATGACATGATCATCAGAACTATTTATAAAGAATACCTTTTTTCATAAAACTAAAAATAAAAAAGTTTCCCATATAGTGCCGACTTAATTGGACAACCTGTATATATCATTTCCATTTCCGTATATTTCTAGTAAAAAAAAGGTAAGTTTGCGATAAGTATTGACAAAAAGAGTAAGAACGGAGATAATAAAGATTAAAGACAGAAATGGTCATCTTACAACCAACAGAGAGAAAACCCTTGAAATAGTTTAAGACGTCTAGAAATTGCTATACAAAAGCCAACACAAAGCAAATAGCGGAGAAGATCAAGTACCAAATATATTAACAGGTCAACCAAGGATCAGAACTACTACTGGAAATCACAATAGACGAAATAAAACTAGCCCTAAGAAAAGCTAAGATCAAAATCGGAGGCACTTGCCTACTTAAGAAAATAAAAAATCTTTGTTTTGTAACATGTGCCTTTTGAACAGTAATATACCCGACAAATGGCACAATGCTGAGGTAATTCTATTGTACAAGAAAGGATATCTCCATGAATTAAAAAAGTACAGGCCTATAAGTCTTGTTAGTCACCTATACAAACTCCGATTTCGTACCGGATTTGGAACAAATGATCACCTTTTTCTTCTTAAAGTGCCCTCTCCTCAATGGAGGTGGGCTACTACAATTTCTCCAGCCAATCTTGGGGTATTTTACCTGTATCATAAATTCTTCTTCTTCAAGTGCCATCTTCGTTCCGAAGGTTGGCGATCATCAGGGCTATACGTATTTTCGAAACTGCTGACCGAAACAATTCGTTGTTGCTACAACTATACCATTCCCGTAGATTCTTTAGCCAGGAGTTTCGTCTTCTTCCTATGGACCTTTTTCCTGCTATTTTCCCTTGCATAATTATTCGAAGCAGTTCATATCTTTCGCCTCTTGTAATGTGGCCCAAGTATTGCAGTTTTCGTTTTTTGATTGTAAATATGACTTCCTTTTCTTTGTTCATTCTTCTCAAGACCTCGACATTTGTGACTCTCTCGGTCCATGATATTCTCAGGATTCTGCGATACATCCACAGTTCAAATGCCTCTAATTTTTTGGTATCAATCTTTTTTAACGTCCATGACTCCATTCCGTAAAACAGCACAGAAAGTACGTAACATCTCATCAGGCGAAGTTTCATTTCAAGGCTCAAATCTCTTCCGCAGAACACTCTCTTCATTTTAGTGAATATGGATCTGGCTTTTTCTATTCTTATTTTGATTTCCGCTGAGCTATCGTTGTCTTCATTTATAAAAGTGCCTAAATATTTGTATTTGCTAACTCGATCGATAATTTCATTGTGTAAATATAAATTTTGGACATTTTGTGTTGATTTCGATATTACCATAAATTTCGTTTTCTTTATGTTCAAAGATAGTCCATATTCTTCGCTGCAGTCTGCTATCTTATTCACCAATGTCTGTAGCTCTTCAAGTGTTTCTGCGATCAGAACGGTGTCGTCGGCAAATCTCAGATTGTTTAATCTAACACCATTTATTTTAATACCTACGGATTGCTCAGAGAGTGTTCTATTCATTACGTCTTCGGAATAGAGATTAAACAGGGTTGGTGACAGTATACACCCTTGTCTCACACCTCGCTTTATTTCAATTTCTTCAGTGGTATTATTCTCTACTCTCACTACTGCTTTCTGATTGTAGTACATATTTGCTATTAGTCGGATGTCTCGTTTATCTAAATTCTTTTCTGTCAGGAGTCTGATTAGGTGATCATGCCGCACTTTATCAAAGGCCTTGTTGTAATCTATGAAACACATGAATACATCTTGATTTATGTCAAGACATCTTTGAGACATAACGTTCAGTGCAAACAACGCCTCTCTTGTTCCGAGTCCATTTCGGAATCCAAACTGGGTATTATTGATGTCCAGTTCCAGTTTTGTGTGTACTCTAGAGTGTATAATTTTCAGGAATATTTTCAGTACATGGCTCATCAGACTGATTGTACGGTAATCACTACATTGTTTGGCATTTATCTTTTTTGGTATAATAACAAAGGTGGATAAAAGCCATTCTTGTGGTATTTTTCCTGATGTATAAATGCTATTGAAAAGTTCAACTAAAATGCGAATCGAGTCTTTTTCTATTAGTTTAAGGATTTCCGTTGGTATTTCATCTGGACCTGGGGCTTTACCATTTTTCATTCTTTTTAGTGCGTACATTACTTCCTCTTCCGTTATTTCTGGACCTTCGTCTCCTTGTATGTTACTTAGCTCAGATTGTTGTCTATCATCTGCAAAGAGTTCTTCAATATAGTTTTTCCATGTCTTCAACTGTTCTTCTAGTTCTGTTATTATGTTTCCGTTGACATTATACAGGGTATTTGGCTGCTTACGTTTTTGTGTACCTGCAAGTTCTTTCACTTTTTTATGTACATTAAAAATATCATGTTTTGCCTGCAATTGCTCTATTTCTTCACATTTTCTTTTATAAAAATCTTCTTTTGCTATTCTGATTTCTATTTTAATTTCTTTCTGTAGTTGTTTATACCTTTGTTCGTTTTTTCCTTTCATTATTCTCCGGTTGTCCATGAGAAGAAGGATCTTATCAGTCATCCAACTTTGCTTTATTTTTGGTTTTTCTTTAGTCAAAATTTTCTTCGCAGGGCCTGTTATTGCCATTTTTACGTTTTGCCATTTTTTATCTATGTTGTTCGTTGGCTGGGATGTTTCCTTTTCATGAAGTATTTTCAAATTATTATTAATACATTTTTGCAGTTTCTCCTTTACCTCCAGGTTACATAAATGACTGACGTCTATCTGATTTGCTCTTCTTTTCTGCTCCAATCTTTTTAGTTTAATATTCATTTGCGCTATTAGAGGGTTATGGTCTGAAAAGACATCTGCGCCTGGGTAAGCTTTAACGGATTTTAAGGAGTTTCTGTATCGTTCGTTTATCAGTAAAAAATCAATCTGGTTTCGAATTATTCTTTCGCCATTGTCCTGGGGTGATTTCCACGTATAGAGTCTTCTCTTTGGTAAGTTGAAGAATGTATTAGATACAATCATGTTATTCTCCTGGCAGAATTGAAGTAGTCTGTCACCTCGTTCATTTCTTTTACCGAGTCCGTATTCTCCTACATGTTTGCCACTTTTTCCTTTGCCAATTTTTGAGTTAAAATCACCTAGAATTACGGTGATGTCTCGTGGTTTCGTCGATTTTAATACTTTATTGATTTCTTCGTAGAATTGTTCAATTTCGTCCTCGGATTTATCTGCAGTAGGTGCATAGATCTGTATGATATTTAGTTTACTTGTGTTTGTTTGTAGTTGGAGAAATAAGAGCCGATCTGATACTGGAGTAAAATTAATGACCGACTGCATCATAGACTTAGATACGAAAACTGCTACGCCGTGTCTGTGTTGAGTACTACTGTTTCCGGAGTAATATACCATGCCATTTGTTGTCGAAAAACTGCCAGAATTTGGCCACCTTGCCTCACTAATGCCTAGAATGTCGACATTTAATCTTTGCATTTCTTGTATTATATTATGCATTTTGCCTGGATCATACATACTTCTAACATTCCATGTACCAATTTTTAATACTCTCTTGGGTGTTTTCCTATTTTTTTTAAGAGTGGTATTTACTACTTCACAGGGATTTTGCTGGTTGACGACCCGGGAGGCCCTGTGGTCTTCTTGTGATATACCTCCCATGCCGGATCCTGGTCTCCGATTCCCATGATCAGTGGTTGACGAGGCTATTTGTTGTACAGTCATGATGATCGTACTAGAGATATCTATGATGGATCTTTAATGTAGTGGTTTCTCCTTGCCTTCTACATCCTTATGCCGTTGACTAGTAAATAGTTCCTCCGCCTTTAGTGCCAATTTCTTGACACTTGGACAAAAGAGTGCCCTTTCACTTGCATACCAACCGAAGTTGGTCAACAAGTGGGGACTGCTTATTCCGGCAGACACTCGGTCGCCAGAGCCTCGTCAGTTGTCTAGCAGGGTGCACCGGATGATTGAGATCAAAATCATCACACGCGCAGGTGAGGTTGACAGTTGGATAGGAGAGGCTGTATGTTGCGCGTCACTATCCCTTACACCCCATAAATGCGATTGAATAAAAGGACAAATAATTCGATATTTTCTTCGCTGATTAATTTGAGCGTTTCTGGGTATATTCCGTCTGGACCTGGGCTTTTATTTGTTTTGAGATGATTAATTGCATTTATGATTTCAGAATTGTTGGCCCTTCGTTGTTATTTTCCAATCTTGGTTCTTCTCGTATGTCGTGAAAAGGAATTTTAATATAGTTTTCCCATTCTTTCAGTTTATCTTCCGTTGATTCTAGCAGTTTGTCATCCGTGTTCAGCATGGTGTGAAAAGTCGTTCTCTTGGTAGTCGATGTAAACTCTTTTACCTTTTTATGTAAATTAAAAAAATCGTGCCTTTGTTGCAGTTCTTCTATTTCAACGCATTTTGTTTCCAGCCATTTCTCTTTTGCTTCGGTTATTTTTTTTCGAATTATTCTATTTAGTCTTTTGTATTCTCCGTCCTTGTCATTTTTTCCTTTAGATTCTCTTCGTTTGTTCATTAATTGTAAAATCTCTTCTGTCATCCATTCCTGTTTGTTATTTCTAGGTGTTACTTTTAGATGTTTTTCCGTTACATTGTTCATTTGTTCTTTAATAGTTTTCCACAGAACGTTTATGTCATCGTACTCGCTAATTCTGTTGTGGTCGATATTTCCTAAATTTTTGTTTAATTCTTTATTTACTGTCTGATGTATGGTGTCGTTTTTCAATATTTGGATGTCTAATAGTTGGTGTTGAGGTTTTTGTTTCTTTATTAGTTTCCATCTTGCGCGCACTTTTGCAACAACAGGATTATGATCGGAATTGATGTCAGTTCCAGGATATGTTTTTGCACTGATGATTGCATTGTGATATCTTTTGTTGACCAATATCTAATCTATTTGGTTACGGATTACTCTGTTTTCATTGTGTTGTGGTGAAGTCCAAGTGTACAATCTGCGAGGGTGTAATTTAAACCATGTATTTGTCACTACCATGTTGTGTTGTTGGCAAAATTCGGTCATTCTCTCTCCCCTGTCGTTCCTTGCTCCAAGTCCGAAGTTTCCGATCAATCCAGAAACTTTTCCTCTACCTAACTTAGCATTAAAGTCACCTAAGATAAATGTTAGGTCTCGTTTTTTGGTCATCTTTATTAGTTTTTCTACGTCAGCATACCACGCTTCTAGCTCTTTAATGGGTTTATCGGCCGTAGGGGCATAAGTTTGAATGATGTTAATATTTACTGGCTTTCCGGATAGTTGAATAAGAAGACATCGGTCCGAAAATGGCACAAAGTTTGTGACGGCATGGTTATATTTGTCTTCTAAAATTACTCCAACCCCGTTACGATGAACCGGATCGTTATTACCCGAGTAATAGAAAGTTTTGTTCATGGTTTTAACTTTACCTGAACCTGGCCATTTAACTTCACTCAAACCCAATATCTGCAACCCTAAACGTTTCATTTCGTGGGTCTCTGGGTCAGACGCTGCGTGCTAGTTTAATCCCTACCACTTACCAGCTCATCCGCCCGAAGCCGTTGGACAGCAAGTGGGAAATCGCTTATACCGGCAATTGCTCGGTAAAAATTTTCGCCATATCTGGCTACCCTCACTTAGTTTAGCCTGCAGACCAATGCAGTTGCCCTAATGATCACCTAAATAATAGAAAAGACTATTGAATACAATCGACCACTGGTTCTGGCTTTTGTAGATTTCCATAAAGCCTTTTGACATGTAGAATTTGACAAAAAAGCTGGAAGCACTACAAACGTATCGTATTGACTACCGATACACAAGGTTAATTTACAATACATACAAGAACGCAACTATGTCGGTGAAACTACATGAAAACACGGATCATTTCCCAATCGGCAGAGGAGTCCTACAGGTGACACCTCATCTTCTTAACTGTTTACCGCAGAACTAGAATGTGCTTGTAAAAAACTTAACTGGGAAGAGAAAGGCCTGAACATTGACGGTAGAAAATTAACAAATTTGAAATTTGTAGACGACAAAGTTTTGTTCCCGGACAACCTCAAGGAGATATTTACAATGCTACATGAACTTCAATTAGTGTGGGTCTTAAAATAAATATCTCCAAAACAAAATTCATGACAAACCTAGTGCCTAGCGAAAATATCAATATTGGAGGCAACGAAGTAGAGCTGGTGGAAAAATACATATACCTTGGATACGAAATAGAGATCACAAGAGACAACCAGACATGCGAATTAAGAAGAATAAACCTAGCATGGGCAGCCTATGGAAACCTCAAAGACATCTTTAAAAGCGATATACCAATTTCTTTAAAACGTAAAACATTTGACCAATCAATGTGTGTTGGCTGTGATGACCTATGGTGTCGAAACTTTGACATTGACAGCTACAACTTCTAAAACGCTGCAAATAGCTCAGAGGAAAATGGAAAGGTCAGTGCTGAGTATATCGCTTCGTGAACGATGAAGACTTCAGACGAAGAACAGGAGTTACCGATGTAATTTTCCGAATTGCCACTCTGAAATGGAACTAGGACGGACACGTCGCCCGAATCAGTGATGAATGACGAGACCGCTTGAGTGGAAGCCGACGTTAGACAAAAGAAGTAGAGGAAGACCCCCTACTCGTTGGACTGACAATCTCAAGAAATTTGATGAAAAGTGCTCAAGAGCACAATCGAAAAAAATGAGGCAGGCCTATGTCCAACAGTGGAAAGGGCTGGGTGATGATGATGATGATGATTGCGATAAGTATAAAATAAAAATATATATAACTATTAGTATTTTTATTTTGGGTATTTTGCAAAGGTAAGGTAGCATCTTTCGGTCTGATTCCACGCCTCTTGAAACCACAGGCGGCCGCAATAAGTTGAATAGCAACTCCAACCGTTTTTTTAGCGTCTTGTTCAGTTCCTACGTCTGTGTTGAGTTCTACAATATCCATAACATTCAATCGGCCTGTATCATGAACTCTTTCTAATATGTGTATTCCTTCTCTTACTGTCAACCCTCCAGGAACTAAAAAAATAGATATTTAATTAAATGTGCCTTAGCCCAAGAAGTTATTAAAACGAGTTTTCCATTTTTAACCAGTTTCATAGCAGATTTTATTAAAAGATTATAAAAAAGAAAGTTCTCTAATTTAACTACATATATAATAAATCTTACTTGTTATAGACGTGCATGGAGCAGCTAGTGGATCAAGCGCGTCAATATCGAAACTAACGTGTATGGATCTGTTCTGTTCAGGATCTATAGCTTTCAAGGCCATATTTATGACAGTGTGTATACCACATTCTTCAATCTCAGCCATACTAAAGGCAGCGATGCCAAATTTATCGACAAATACTCTTTCGTAGGGATCCACCGATCGTAGTCCGATATATGCTATATTTCTTACAGATAATGTTGGCTCCTGCCATTCCATACCAGGTAAAAACGGCCAATAGTCGCACATTTCTTTTGTTACAATAGATACTGGCATACCATGTATATTACCGCTTCCTGATGTTTTGTTGGTGTTGATGTCGCAATGAGCATCGATGTATATAACACAGATATCTTTCTTTGCTTTCAGATGTCCATCTATAGATCCGATAGCTAAAAAATAAACTTTTTAACTATGTTCAAACTGAAAACATTATGAATTAAGGGTAAAAATATCCTAGTATTATTTAATATGTGCCCAAACGAAAAATTGATGTGAAAAGCAGTAGACTTAGGACAGGCTCAAAAATCAAGAGAGTGTTGTAACGTATCAAAAATCCGATACGTTACATTTTGTCTAATTTCCATTTCTTTTATTAAATTTAATTGACACTCAGTATATAACTTTAATTTTTATCCAAAGTTCACAAGAAATAATTTTTGACCCCACCTATCTGTTTTGACGAACTTGTCGTTGGCTTTTGTTTGAAAATATTCAAACAAGCCGCTAAAATGCCTTTCTTCTTCTTTTTAGTGCCTATTCGTTTCGAATATTGGCGATCATTCTGGCTATAATTATTTTATTAACTGATGCTTTAAATAGATTAGTTGTTGTGGAGAATCATTTCCTCTCTCGACAACGAGCAACCCTGTAGTAGTCCCTTTGTCGTCTTAAATGGACTGCATATTCTATTGCCCGTTTTGATAACTACTTCGTTATTCTTGTAGAGTGCTTTTACCGCGTTCATTAATCTTCGTGGAACTTCGATGTCTTCCATTGCTTCCCATAGCTTGGTTCTAGGTATTGAGTCATATGCCTTCTTAAGATCAACGAAAGCCAGATGGACAGATCTATTTTTGGCCATTCTTTTTTCTATTAGTTATTCGACCGTGTAAATGTGATCTAAGCATGTATTCCCCGCTGTGAAACCTGCCTGGTCTTCTCCGATTTTATCTTTTATATATATTTCTAATTTTTCCTTTATGGTCTATCCATACAGTCTGCCTATAGACGCTGATGCTGATTTCCCGATAGTTTTCGCAGTTTTTTCTATTTCCTTTCTTGTATATTGATGTCATATATGCTTGGGTCCATTCTGCCGGTAAGTCTTCTACATTCAGTGCTCTCTCAAACATTTTGTGTATCATACGGAATAACTTTTCCGATCCGTTTTTTATCAATTCATTTGGTATTCCGCGGTGTCTTGTTGGTTATCTTCTCTGTCAATGATATCCCTGGGATTCTTCTGTATAGCCACATCTCGAAGATTTCAAGTTTTTTCTATATCGTTTCAGTGCGTGTCCAGGATTGAAGTCCGTAGTATAATATCGAGAAGATATAACGTCGTAGGACCCTTACTTTTATCTCCAGAGTAAGGTTGTGGCTTTTAAAAAGTTTGGCCACGTTGTTGAATGCACTCCGTGCCTTCTCTATTCTACATTTTACTTCTTGTGAGTGATCCCATTGTTCGTTTACTATTGTTCCAAGATAGGTAAACTGTTTTACTCGGTCCACTGGTGTATTCTTGATAAGCAGTTGGACATCTCTAATTTTATTTTTGCTGATGACCATTTAGTTTTTGATTAGGCGTTCTCCATTTAAAAGGATTCCAAGTTTACTTACTCTTTGGTTTTTACATTTGCCTGTAATTTATGCACGTTGAAGTCGTCGTATTTACTTTGAAGAATTCCGATTTCTTGGCATTTTTTCTCCAGATCTTTCTGTTTGGCTTCTCTGATCTTTCTCTGTATATCTCGTTGTAATGTTTTATACATAGAGTTATTGTTCTCGTTTTCCTTCATTATTCCATCAGCTGCAGAATCTGTGTTGTCATCCATGTCTTATTCTTACCTTCTTCGTTCTTCATAAAATTGTCTTTAATGTCGTCTATCGTTTTATTAAGGGATTCTATCTTCTCTTCTGTGCTTTCCGTTGTATTATCGATATCTTTGAATTTTCTGTTTATTGTTTTGCTATTTCTTTTACTTCACTACATTTCAGTTTTCTCATGTCACGTTTTTTTACAGTTTTTCCGCGTATTTTTTTTAATTTGGTTCTACACACCCACTAAAAGATTGTGGTCAGATTGAATATCAGCGCCTGGGTAGGTTTTAACACTGTTGAAACTATTTCGATATCTTTTGTTAACAAGTATATAGCCTATTTGGTTTCTTATACTAAAGTCTTCTCCGTTGTCTCTAGGTGATTTCCACGTATACAGGAGTCTAGGTGGTAGTTTGTAAAATGTGTTTAGTACGATTAAGTCATGTTCAGCTGTTTCTCCTCGTTGGTTTCTCTCTTCTAATCCATAAAGACTAATATGTTGTTGCCCTTCTTTTCCTGATATTTCCTCATCACTGTGCCGTGGGTGCATAGACTTGTATAATGTTAGTGTTCATCGGTGACGTATTCATTTGTAACAAGAGGATTCTATCGTTCACTGGCATGAAGTTGTTGACATGTTTGGATATACTTTTATGTGTAATAATTCCGACTCATTTTCATATTTACCATTTTTTGATCCTGAATAGTATACTCTGTATTCTTCTATTGCACAATAACTTGAGTCAGGTCACCTCATTTCGCTTGTGCCCATTATTGATATTTTCATGCGTTCCATTTCACATATTAACGACCCTTGAGGCCCTGTGGCCATGGGAATCACCTCTTCTGTCGGATCTTGGTCTCCGATGTCCATAATCAGTAAGCGAGTTTATGTTGTGTTTTACAGTCAATATAGTGGTTTCTCGTTTCTCGAGAAACCGGCCCCACAGGCGGAAGAATCAGTGGTTTGGTCAACAGCATAAGAAGATAGAAGGCATTCTATCTTCTTATGCTGTTGACCAAACCACTGATTCTTCCGCCTGTGGGGCCGGTTTCTCATACCTAACAACTCGTCCGCCCGAAGCCTTTAGTCAGCAAGTGGGGGATTGCTTATACCGGAAATCATTCGGTAAACTTTTCGAAAATGCCGTTAGGGTCTGTTTATTCTATACCATCCCTTTAAAGAATTTTCCGAAAAATACTCCGTGAAGACCATCCAAGAATTCTAATGTTTTCGGTCAATATTGGACACACCCAGCAAAGTTCTGTTACCAAAGCTTGATTTGGTCCAGCGGGATCAGAATGATAACTAACGGTACCTTTAGCTATTTAAATAAATACTTTTCTATCAAAATGCCTACCTTCTATATCCTATTCACTTTTCCGTTTGTAATCAAGATGTAAGAACGTTCGACGGCCCCTTTCAGGGTAAGATTAATTTTGTTTCTTTTGTTTTTTTCGCAATTTTTATTTTTGTATTTTCTCATCCAATTAGGGTCCAAATTTATCCTATGGAGAATCTAGGCTCCCCTAATTTACAGGCTATTTTTATTCCACTTTTTAGGCGACCTTTATCCGCTTGGGAATCAAAGTTCCTCCTCACTACCTCAGTAAATTGCTTTCACTCCATACATCATCACAAGGAATTTGACTGACAGTTAATCTGATTAACAACTTTATCTAATTTATTGTTAGTACTTTTCCTTCTATTCTCAGCAGATTCAACTGATGTTGCTTTCAAGCTAAGAAAGTTTTGTTAGATATCATTTAGTGCAGTCTCTATTTTAAACATGTTTAAATCGAAACGAATTAGAAAAAAAAGAACTATAAATGAACATGGATTAAATGGATTGATAAAAGACAGGTAAATAAAATTGTGTCCAAATATTTATATTCCTTATAATTTCTTACCTATTGCATGATCGCCTCCTAAATTCAAACACAAATGATCTTCAGCTAAAATCTCCTCTACTTTCTTTGATAATTCTTTGTTACACGACATTACTTCATCATAGGAGTGCATGTTTGGCACGGTACCTATTTCCTTGAGAAGGCGGTAGTCAAGATTTCCATAATCTTTAATTAACGATTTATTATCTAAAATAAAGAAAAACCTTATTGATCATAGGATATGTCGAGTAAGACTTAACAGGGAAGTTCGCTAATATTCGCATCCATGCTCCAACGGAAGAAAAAGATGATGATGAAAAAGATAAGTTCTTTGAGCTACTAGACCAAAATTATGATGAGTGCTCAAAAAATGACATCAAAATAATAGCAAGAGACTTTATTGCCAAAGTCGGAAGAGAAAATATATATTTGCCCACCATCGGAAAAGCGAGTTTACGCGTAGACTCTAATGATAATGATCAGAGAATCATAAATTTTGCGATGTTTAAAAAGATGGTAACAGCTAGGACACGGTTTCCCTATAAAGATAAACATAAGGAAACTTGAAAATCTCCAGATAATGAAACGATTAACCAAATAGATCACATAATCATCGACGCAAGACACTGCTCTAACTTATTAGATGTTAGGTCTTTTAGAGGAGCAAACATAGATACTGATCACTATTTAGTTAAAGCACGATTTAAAGAGATAATATCCAATTTAAAAAATGAGATCCGGAAAAGGAGAGAAAAATCGACGTTAATTAACTAAAAGATCCCGACATTGCAAATGTATAAAGAGAACAAATAGAAGATCAAATAAGGACAGAAAACTTAGAAGAAGAAGACATAAACCAACTATGGGCAAATATACGAGAGATTATGTTATAGAAATCGGTTGAAATATTAGGCACAACCAAGTCAGAAAAAATAAATCATTGGTTTGATCCATGGACGTATAAATGTCCATGGTTTGATCATGAGTGCGAAATGGCCACAAATAGAAAGAACGCAGCATATCAAAAAAATCATCGACGCAGGTTGCACATGGAGAAAAAGGCACATAACAAATTGTCGAGCCACTTATGATGATGAAAGAAAAACCTTATTGAAATATATTGAATTACAAGCCTTTATGCGTATTGTTTTTAATCTAAGGAGAGAAATCAGACTATCTATAAGATCTATGTTTTCTTTTCTGATAATTTTTCAATGACTAGAGCAGTTCATCCTAGGACGTAGTATATTGTGGCATAGGAACACAGAAATTTTAGAGATTCAAATAAAATTTGTTTTACATTATTAAACTTGAATTTAGTTCAATGCCTTCTTCTTCTTTTTATATAGACATGACACTGTCTGTTTTCCAATGTGCCTCCAGTAAGTTGTCGTTTCATCGTTTTCTTGGTCTTCCTACTGATCGTATTCCTATTGGAGAACCGTGTCTTGCCGTCTTTACTACTTTATTTGTTGTCATTCGGATTATATGATCGTTCCATTCTACTCTTCTATTTCTTACCCAGTTCTTGATGTTCTCCATCTTTCATCTACGTCGTATATCTGTACTTCTAGCTCTGTCCCATAGTGTCGTACCATCAATTTTTCATCTCTGCTGTTTCTAACATCCTTTTTGTCCTCTCTGTATCAGGTCTTATTTCTGCCGCGTATGTCGTTGGTCTGATGACTGTTTTGTAAATTCTGTGTCAAGTGTGTACCAACGCAATTCTACCCGAATTTGCGTATAAAATACACGGTTCGTATATTGCAAAATTAAACTTCAAAATTATTCAAAATCTATATTTGCCAGTTCCCAACAAAACATATCGCGTGCTTTTAAAAAATGATGTAACAAAAATTATCACTTATAAGCATCAATCTATACATACACAAAATTAAAAAATACTACGCCACGGATACCGACCGTTCAGCGCTCAGATTCTTAGTCAACTGTAAGAACCTCATCAATTTTTATTACACCACTTACGCGTTAAAATAAAGAAAATAAATTGAAGTGATGGCGATAAAATATAAGAATTATTGCCGACAAGTGGAAAGATTGTTATGATTTAAAAAGGTTTTATAGCTAAAGCTTTCTTTGAATTTTAATAAGAGATTTTGTAACTTCATCATTCAACATAATAATATATGTGCATACAAACAAAATAATTATCAAATGGCTGTGACATCCTCCCACCTGAGGCATTTTACAAAAGTAAACATGGCTCACAATATTAATATTGGCACAAAAGTAAACAAAACTACAGCAAATAACATAAAATCATAACAGACAAAATTCGAAATATAATTAAGCAAAAACTAAATCTACTCGTTAGCGTATCGCACAGGAGTTTTGACGCTGCGCCCACTTCGCGTAACAATTTTTTTGGTTTCGGGTACTCTGCTTTCAGACACTCCCGTTTCCGCGTCGTTTTCGGAGGCACTCACTTCCGCGCCTTCACATAAACTTAAACGAGATTCTCTGTCTTCGGTCTCTCCCGTGTTGTCCGTTCGGTCATTGCCTAGCGTCTGAGAGAAATCTGCTGGGCACTCCATGGGTTAGATACGCTGAATTGGTCTTAAAAATTGACCTCTTTCTGTAGAAATCCTAACAAGCCGAATTTGAAAGTCTACTCGAGAAAACGAGTAGACTTCTCAGTTCTTCAGTAGAGTTCTCAGTTCCGACAAAGTTAGTTCCATTATCACTGTATATAGTCTTCGGACGACCACGTCTGGCAATAAAACGTCTTAGAACCTGCATGAAGCAGGCAACTGACAACGAGGTGCAAAGTTCGACATGTACAGCACGATATACGGCACACGTAAAAAGACATATCCATGCTTTTCCTCCGGTGGCTAGGTAAAGCGGTCCCGCAAAATCTACGCCCGTCGTTTCGAATGCTACCGCGTCCCGGACGCGATCTACTGGTAACGGCGGAGCATTTGCCCCGAATGGCTTCGCATTATGCCTTTTGCAGACGACACACTTAATGATGGCTGATTTTATCGCCCGTCGACCACCTAAAATCCAATATCGTTCGCGCACGATACTCGTGAGTCCTTGAGTTCCAATATGACACGAATTAACATGTTCCCGGAATAACAACCTATTCACTAAAAAATGTCTTGCCGGTAAAACTATAGGAAACCGAAAATACTCTACGTCATTTCTATTACTAATACGCGACTGTAAGCGAATTAGTCCATGCTCATCCTTAAAAGCGTTCATTCCCGATAATCTATTGTCTTTATTCAGAAATAGAGTGTCGTCACTCTTATTCCACTTTATTCCCAACACCTGAGTTGAAGCTGCAAGGTTTTCATCCTGTATTTGGCCAGTATACTCCCACCCTCTGAGGTCAAACTTGCCTTCACTCATTATTATGTTTGACTCTTCTATAAAAGTTCTCAGTTCCTGCTCATTTCTTACACTGGTAACACAATTATCAACGTAAAAACTATTGGATAAATTTGTAATTGTGTCTTCTGAAACATTAAGCCGTGCCGAAGAGCATTTTTCTAACATCTGCGATAAATGATAGTCCAGCGTAGCTGCCAATAAAAATGGACTACTACTTATTCCAAATACAACTCGACAGTGACGGTAAATCCTTTCTTTTCCAGTTTTATCTATCCATAGAAAGCGAAGAAAATCCCTGTCAGCTTTATGCAGGCCAATTTGCAAAAATGCTTTCCGAATATCGGAGATTACACCAATTTCCTTTTGTCTAAATCTCAACAAAATAGCTGGAATCAATTCAATCAGGTTAACCCCCTTTTCAAGACACTGATTTAAAGAAGGTCTGTGTTTTTCTTTGGCCGAAGCATCAAAGACCGGTCTGATTTTTGTAGATAAGCTATTTGGCTTAATTATCGGTCTATGGGGTAAATAATGACATTCTTGGCTAGGCTGCTCCTCGGATATTTCTTCAATTATACCTTCGTCCAAACAATCCTTAAATATTTGGTCGTAGGCTTCAAGATATCCGTCTTTCGTTATTTTCTTAAATGTGCTCTCGAGTCTCCTTTTTGCAATTTGGTAGTTGCTCAGCAATGCTGGATGTCCTTCCAGCCATGGGAGTCTCACTTCATATCGTCCACTAGAATCCGATGACACTGTTTCAAAGAAAAGTTTCCTGGCTGCTAGCGCAGTTTCTTCACTTGACTTCCTTTCAGTTGGATCACCAATGCCCAAAACGTCTAGCTCCCAAAGATTACTAACTGAAGCATTTTTAACAAAAAGTGATACAACCGATGTGGTATTATTGTCCCGTTGACCTAAAGGTATCTTGCCCATTAAAGTCCAACCTAATAATGTTTCTACAGCTACCAATCCACTTTCCAATATGTGCCTCCTCCCAGTATAGAGTTTTCCAGCAATATCAGCACCTATTAAAATCTCTATAGGAGACGCATCACCCAAGTCCGATAGTTTTATATTAAACATACCAAGTTCTTCTATCCAGGGACCATTAAATATGGAAGAGACGTCGCTACATATAACGTTTTGATCTAGTGCCTCAAATGTATAACTATAATTGTTATGAAACACTCTAACATCATAGCAGTCATGTTTTTGCGCTAATTGGTTTCCTCCAAACAATCCATGTACTAGATTAATCTGTCGTTTACTAGGATAACCCAAAAGTTTAGCTGTAGATTTCAAAATGTACGTTTTTTGCGATCCGGTATCTATAAGAGCACGTACAACTCGCGACTTGTCTAAATAGTTTATTTCAATACGCAGAGTTTGCAAAAAAACATTCGTATTAGCACTATTAGCGAGCGTCTGTTCAATTCTTGGCACGGCAATGCCATCGTTTTCTTTCTGCTCTTCTGTATCCTGCTTTACCCGGTGTCTTGAAAGTTCAGTGCACATTAAAGGTACATGCGATTTAGAGCAAATTAAACAACTTAATTGACTGCGACATTTTCGAGACTGATGTCCAATTTTCAAACAACGAAAACACGCGCCTTTTTCTGTCAAAATATTTTTCCTTTGGTCATAAGTTAATTTCTGTGCTTTAAAACAGTGGCTGCTTTCATGCGAATTCTGACAAAAAACACATTTATAGATAGTGTGAGAATTAACTAAACCCATCGCGGAAGGAGACTTGTGCTTGTTTTCCTCGTGTCTCCTTGTTTTTGGGCCTGTAGATTTAAAATCTTCGGTTTTAGCAGCATGCAAATGGAAATTCTCGACTGCTA